GATGATCCTATCTCACTCCTGACCTTCCTGCATTAAATTTCCAGTCATGTGAACTATCTATCCATCTATCTAGTTATTCATCTATCCATCCATCCATCCATCTAATCTATCCATCTATTACATATCTATCTATGTATATATTACCAAATATTTTTAGTGTTACATAGAAAGGTATTTTTAGAATGTGTAGTCTGCCATATTACTGAAAATTAAACTCCACATTACTTATTTCATGGAGTTTTTTTATTACTATTTTTCCCTGTTTGAATCATCCTTGTTGAATTGGAAGTTCGAATATGACTTTTTTGGTATTCTAATAATACCCTTCCATTTCTGTGCTCACTTAATTAGATGTGTATGTATTTGCTATTATTTGAAAAAAAATATCAATTTTTTCACCTATAAGCTTCACTTTTTCCCCTTTCAAGACTGTTTCCTGCCTACTACCCTCCCTCTCCTTCCCTCACCCCAAATAGAGGATACATTTATAAGACTTTAGCTCTCCTACTCTTTTTCTCTACTTCCCTCTGTTCCCTGATAGAAACTTGAGAAGGCTTTACCTTCCCTCCTCTCCTTTTCCCCAAGGACCCAATTCCTAGATTTTCTGAGATAGTTTAGTACCTAGAATTCCCATGAGAATGTCCTGCTATTTCAAGAGACTTTATTTAGAATGAATATTACACTTTCTAAGTCCATCATTGTTCATTAGGATATGTACAGAGGGATAGTGATAATACAACATTGCATGGTTTATTCTCCATTCTTTTCTATCTTTTCATCTTATTCCATTTCCAAGTTTCTCTTCTGATTCATTTGTAATTTGACTTTTTTTCTCGATTATTTTTTACAGATCATGTATATATATATGAGTGACATACTGACTAAATTTTTACATATTTTGAAATATACATATATATTTTTGTCAGCCTAATAGTTCAATATTATCTTGGCTATGTATGAGATGTTGGGACAGCTATTTTCTCTCATTAATCTGGAGATACTGTTCTGCTTTCTTATAAGTCCATGATACAAATAAGAAATCAGGCGTTAACCTGTTCCTTTTGTTGATAAGTTTATAATTTTTTAATCTCTCTTTACAGTTCAGGAATTCTTTAAGGATATGCTTATAGGCATGTCATTTTGTTATTATTTCAGCTTGGAAATAAGTGAGTACTTTTAATCAACAAGTTTGGTCTTCTTTTCAGGAAAGCTGTCTTTGATAATTTTATCATGGCTTCCATTACCCTCTTTTTTATTACTATTCTTCTTTTTCTGGAGCTCCTATAATTTGTGGTCGATCTTCTAATCTACCCTATACTTATCTTTCCTGTCATGATCTTCTCTCTGTGAATATGCTGAATATAAATCATATCTTTCTAAGCACAAGTCACACACACACACACACACACACACACACACACACACACACACACACACAATGCTTGGTAGGTTAGTTATTCAAATAGTTTATGGACAGTAAGTCCTCCTTTAACATCATTGATAGGTTCTTGGAAACTGTGATCTTAATGAAGTATAGGAGGTCCTCAAATAACATCATTTTCTTCAATGTCTTTTCTTTATAATGTTGATGAGAAAAAAAAATTGATTTTGGTATACGTCATTTCATTTAAAGTTGCATTTTCCAAGAAGTTATCATTGACATTAAGTAGGGACTTACTGTAGTTAATTGATGAGGTCTATTTGATCTATTCATATATGATGCTATATGAAATATGTTTATTTTTTCAGTTTGAAGATTTATCAATTTATCATATTTAAAATTTTTGCTTTGAAATAATTTCACTCCTACAGAAGAGTTGCAAAAACAGTACAAAGACTATTTTGCACGCCATTCACCAAGATTCACCAATTTTTACCATTTTGATCTCTTTCTTATCCCCTCTCATCTGCACACCCACACATTTATACAAACATACACGTATCTGATATTTCCACCATCAACTCAGGTTATGAATTTTTGGCAGGAACCCTTCATTAGTGATATTGTGACCTCAATTTATCTCTTTAGGAGGAATGGAAGGTCAGTTTGTCCCACTTCTGGTAGTGATAATTTTGATACCCAAAATGTCCCACATTAAGCCAGTAGGAACTCCTTCAAGCTGGCTCCTGTGTCCTTTTGACATGTCATCATCATTTTGTTTTTGAACATTTGCTTACTTTCTAGCAAAGATGTTCCAGGCTGATCTTGGACTATTCTAGCGTCAATCCTGAAATCAGCCATTTATCCAAAGCTTTGGTTCTTTTTAGAAGGGACTACTGTATTTAAAAACCAAATTTAGATTCTAGATGAACTTACTGTGATCAGGTATCAATGCCTCTAGATACATAGCAGTGAAAAAAGTTACCTGATTAGTTCTATTTTTTCTCTACTCAGTTGGTTTTACTACACATATAAAATATAGTTTGTTTTTTGTTTTGATGTCTACTAAATTTTATGATTCTCCTTCTTATTGATTTAATTTAATTTTTTAATATTAAAAATATTGTCATGGTCCCTCAAGTCAAAATTACAATAAGTTTTACTCATAGGCATTTCTCACCCTCACTTTTCCATCCAAACTTTTCCCACACATGGGCCTGTAGGTAAAAAATGTGGTGAATTTCTGCTTGGTCCTTATCTTGACTTTCTCTACAACTTGGGTAAAAGGGAAAAGATTCTTTGTTATGACTGTCAGTTGTAAGTATCAGAAAATTTGCTAAATTTAACTTTGTAAAAATAAATTTTAAAAATCCTTTTACAGTGCAAAATACAAAGAAACTCCATAATAAATGAAGATAAAAAACAAATGAAAAACTGGAAAAAATTATTATAATATGTATTAATATTATACCATACAGGTTAATGTTCTTAATAGATAAAGAACTGTTAATATCCATGTTCATATTACTCAATAAGATATTCCCATTTGATTATGGAATACTTCTTACTGTGAATTTTATATTTTATCTTAATATAGGCAAGCCTGCTTTTTTGCTAATGTTTTCCATGTATATTTTCTTTAATTTCCTCTTTTTCAATCTTTTTGTGTCATTTTATTCATTTATTTTTTTAAGGCACATAGCTAAATAAATATCCACATATCATTTTATATTTACTTCTATATCCATCTAAACCATAATGTCAAAGACTATCTGTTCTTAAGAGGAAATTAACCATCTTCAGTTAAATGCTGATGAATTTGGAAAAGAAACTTAGGAACCATCTTCTGTTACTGGTGATTATATGTGAAGGTGCTGGTGGCAAAGTCTCTTGTAGCCTGGATAGCTTATCACAGAGATGCAGAAGGTGAAAGGACTCTGATATATACAATGACCAAGGTGATTAATGAGTGTTATCCTCTGGCTTAAAGGGTTATCCTGAAAACATATGTATCAGCTACTGTGGGTGGGCTGTAACTGGGACTCTAAGGCACAGTTTTCTATTGTAGTTACTCCTTGGGTATTGGTACAAGGTTGGTATGCTTCAAACATTCTCCACTGCTTTCCTACAGAGCAATCAGTCCCATCAACAGACTAATTGGTGATTGAGAGGACAAGGTTGCCACCATATGAATCCAAAACCCAAGCATCTTCCCTCTGACCTCTTTCTTTCTCTCTCTTTACACACATACACACACACACACACACACACACACACACACACGTGCACACACACACACATACGCACAGACATTCAAATACAAGAGCATGATTACACCTTATTCCTTGAATATGGAATTATCTACCCATTTTTTTAAGGGCAGATACCCTGTGTTTTTCAACTGGATCCTACTATCCACCCCTAGGTAAGGCAGGAAAACTGGATTTAGTAACTCAAAAATGATTTAAGATCTTTAAGAGATGAAGGTAAAGTTCAACCTTTTCAATTCCTAAAACATAAAGGGAAAAAAGGTCAAACCAACACACAAATTTACTATCAAGCAGCTCATTCTGTAAGGTGAGTATAGCTAAGTTGGGATGGGACAGACAGACAGCAAAATTTCTCTGCCATTTTAAAAGTGCAAGCAATGTTAAGATTCTTGCAGGTTGAAAATGATGGGCAAGGAGGTAAATGGAGAAGAGACAAAGAAGCTTCATAATGGTTCATGTTACTGTCCTGCAACGTGATCCTTTTTCTATCTAAAATTTCAGCCAAAAGTCTCCCGTCTGTGCTCTATCTGGAGGCAATAAAAGAACAGAGTTGGTGTCAGTATGGTATGATTTGATGTGGAAAAGAGACAATCTCTGGTGGAATGAGATAATCTACAAAAATGAAATAAATTTGTGAAAGTAGGGACTCAGGCAAGAGAGATGTTGAGAATTTCCATCTCCTTCCCTCAAACACATATATCCTTGGAGCAAGTTGTGGTTTAAACTGATATCATTGACATTTAAAGGAACATGGTGACATCAGCTGACAATTGGGTTACTTTTCAGGAACTTTGGATTTTACCTCCAGCTGCACACTTGAACTCTATTGCTTTTGACTCTTAATGCCTTTGGCTCTTGGAGAACTCAAATTTGACTTCCTGTTCTGATGAATTAAAGAGAATAAAAAAGGCAAAGGCATGGATTTCAGTTTTACATCTGTTCTATATCGAAACATGATTCTTTTATGCGAACCCATGGGAGAAATATCTCTCAGATCTTCTTAGTGTTTGGAAAAATTTATAGAATTGTGTTACTTTTTGCTTTGTTTGCGAGGGAGGTAAAACTCAACTTTCTGCTCCACCTTTAGCAGCCTTGCAGGACCTTTGATGTCTCTCAATGAGTTCTAACTTCCACTTGTGTCCACTGTACATTAATTTTTCCATTGCATCCGTTTATTTATTTGTTTTTTCAATCTATGCATGGCCTATTTCATTTCAATGCAAAATATAAATTCCTTACCCCTTGTTCAATGATAAGTGGTAAGATACATAAATAAATGAATAAGGGATTCTCCTTCTCTCACTTTAATTGGACACTAATTGCTGCTTAGTAATACATTTACTCCTCACCTGTTGACTCAACATTGTATTTTGTAGGGCAGCTTTTCAACGTATTCATTGCCATGGCCATTCATTTGGAGGAGGGTCAGGTGCTCTATTACCTTCCCATGTTCATCTGGAGTGTCCTCGGGCTGTTCGGCATAACAAGAGTGCTTTATGGTCTGGCTCTTTGTGGGGAACATCCAAGCAAGGGAGTAGTTGAAAGTGATCAGCAACTAGCTACATCTCCTGTGCTGCTTACATAGGACCTACTTCTGATTTGGTTCCTTTACATATCTTCTAACTTCTGACTCTCAGTTGTCTTTGCTCTTTGCCATGTTTGCCTAAGAAAACATTTCCCCCATGTGCGACCCCTCTATCTTTACTGTGCTTGAAAGAATGGACTTTTGGCCTCATTGCCTTGACGCAAGATGGATGCAATTGTAGGTTAATGGTTTACTAACACCAACGAGGAGCTAAGCAGGGCGCTCTAAATTTTAAGTTAGTGAAAGGACACTAACACAGACTAAAAATATATTCAGCAGGAAGACCTGTGCAGAAGAAATGGTTTTCCAGTTTCCTCTTATCCCCTATTCTTCACAAAGATCACAGGATCATAATTCTATTGGCCTTTGAGGGAAAACATGGAGTCCTCACTTTGACCAGTTACTGTCTATACATTCCTTCTATTGCATTCCCACCCTCCCCACCTGTCTCAGTCTGACCTGTCTTCATGCTGCCACTTCCTCTGGACAGTCTCCTAACCTGATCCCTGTCCTAGTATTTTTCCTTAAACTCTAAACTCCAAGTCATTCACAGATCAATCTTTCTAAACCACAGATAAAATCATGTCCAAAAATGTTACTTAAAGGACTTTTTACCGGTGTCTGTAAAGGATGAAGTTTTTACATGAGGCTCACCAGGATTTGGCCTGGGCCTAGCTTTGGAGTTGTATTTTGGGCCCCGTTTCCCCACTGGTGCTACCACCCAGCCGTCTTAAATTCACCATGAGAATTCAACTGCCCCAGACTCCCACACTCACCTCTGTGGTTTTCCTCATATGCAGTTACTTCCTTCTGGTTGAAATGTCCTTTTTCTCTCTTGATTGCCCTCTTCCAAAAATCAAGTCATGTTTTAATCTTAACTCTGAGGTATGCTTTTATACTCCAGTCAGAGTTTGTTGTGTCTTTTATAATGTCTCCTGCAATATTTTATGTAACTGTTCTGAGAGAGGTAAAGTCTTCTATAAATCAGAAACCTGACTGAGGTACCCAGGAGGTATGAGGTGACTTATCTACCAGGTATGGCTCAATCCCCTGTGTGTTGTTGAAGCAGGAACTCCACATGGCTCAACTTTAGCACCAGATGACGTAGCTTTTGGTGTTGCGAGATGACTTAGCTAACCCTGGTCATCGTGCATAAGGTGAACTTCTGCTCTTTGGTCTACTGCTGTCCTGACTGTGATTTTTATGACAATGGCCGATCTATGTGATTTCTCCTCCAGTCTTACATCTTTCTTTCCAGTACTTAGAATGGAATGGAGTTTAGAGATTGCTCCCCAGTGTATCCAACTTTCCAGAAGTGCTAGTCTGGGTAAGATGTTCTTCACTGTATCCCACAAGACCACACCACAAGCCTTGGGAGAACTCCATGGCTCACAGGAGGTAAGAATGCAAGATTTCTTAGGTCTGAAACTTTATTGTATTCAGCAGCTATTCTCATAGTTTGTGGTTTAACTTTATAGCTATTACCTGTTTTATTCAAGACAGAATTTTCTTCTCGGTTTTCTACGAAGTTATTTTTTGTTTTCTCTTAGCTTCAGAGAGAAAAGCAATGTAGAAATGCCTTTAATGTGGTTTTTTAGCTGCAAGTTTCCCCTGGATCTTACTTTTACTTCCACTGTGTTACTGGACCTCCTCTCTGACAAAGCTCTAATGACTCCCTAATCGACAAATCCAAAACTGCCTTCTCTGCAGACAGCCTCTGTGTTGAAAGCTCTTGATCCTATCACTTCTTTTACAGCACAAATCTCAGTTAATTTCTATCCTCATTCTCCTTTGCCACCTCTTCTCTTTCAATCTCATGTTACACTCTTTTCCCTGGGTTATCAAGAAGAAATACATTCTTTCATTTTTGTTCTTGTAGATCTTTTTTTTCATTGCTCTTAATAACCCTTAGCACAGGCTGAGTTCTTAGTTTATCTGCATATTTGATTACTGCTATATGTTGAATATATGTGTCCCTCCCCTATTCACATGTTAGAACTTAGCCCCCAAGGTGATGGTCTTGGGAGGTAGGGGGTTTGGGAGGCGATTAGGCTGTAAGAGCTCTGCACTCTGGGATGGGATTAATGCCCTTGTAATAGAGGCTTCAGAGAGCTACCTCATTCCTCCCATCCCTTCTTCCACATGAGAACACCCAGATTGTACCATCTATAAGAAACAAACCTTTTCCTTTTCCACTCTCCTCCCACCACATGAGGATGCAGCCTTTGTCCCTTCCCCTCCAGAGGATACAGCAACAAGGCATCATCTTGGAAGCAGAGAACAAGCCTTCACTGGACACCAAACCTGCTAGCACCTTGATCTTGGACTTTCCAGATTATTTTTTATAAGTAAAATTTTCTAAATAAATCTCTCTTTTTTGTAAATAAAATTCATAAATGAATCTCTCTTTTTGTAAATAAAATTCATGAATAAATTTCCATTTTTGTAAATAAAATTCATAAATAAATCTCTATTTTTGTAAATAAAATTTATACATAAGTATAAATTTCTATTTATACTTTCTATTTTTTGTAAATTACTTGCTGATTTTGTTATAGCAGCCCAAACTGATTGAGACAATTACTTTCCATTCTAGGAGTATTTGTCACTTGAGCATGAAGTTTTATCTTTCTTTACTGACTTTTGCATAAGGAGTAATCAAAGGTTTTCTGAATTAAAACTATTCAGTTATTTCATTAATTAGCTAGATTGCCTCTATGTTGTCTTTTTTCACAAGGATCTATTAATAGCCAGTTATATTGATAAACTAGATTAAAATATCACAAATTAAAATCAACAGAGAAAATAAAAGCATGATGGCAATGAAATAGAATATTAGAAAACAAAACACCAATCTTGAACCATAAGCATGAGTATCTGTTAATGTCTAGATCCAGCATTATCAGAAGGAAATGTGGGGTCTTAGGTTGAGTAGGCACAAATCAAGTAAACAAACGAGGAGGTTATTCCACACAAAGAATATGGTTTTTTCAAAGTGTTAATTATATGGTTTCCTAATATTCAAAGATTTACTTTTGGTTTTCAAATAGGAAAAGTGCCTTGCAATACTATCATGTTTTTAGTTATTGGTCTAAAAAGCTTATTTTAGCCTATATTTTCATTATCACAAAATTTTACAAGTATAACATGACAAAGGTATGCAATTTTACATAAATAAAAGAAAAATCCATCAAGGAAACAAACACATTTTAGGGGAAGCCATCACATTAATAAAAATGCCCACCAGGTGTTAAACTCCAGCTCCAGAAGGACTATGAAGAGTAGTATGCTTTATCAGAGCTCTGTCCTCAGTGTCTTACCCCACAGCCCACTCTTTCAAAACAGAAGTTGCTTCTCTTGTAAGGAATCATAGGGATGGTTGGAGAAACACACACATACACACACATACACACACACACACACACACACACACACACACACACACACACACACTCACACAGAGTTAGAACTAATCCTTTCCACTGCATGCCCACAAAAAACATTGTGCTTACATTTGAAGCTAAAGAGATTTTATGAAAAGCTTATTCTTTACCACTCTGCCTCTTAGCCCTAAGAGTTGACTGCAAGCCTTTGTTTGTTAAATGAGTCCCATTAGTGATTTATGAGACATGCTTCTTGCGTCTATTACTATTGCTTCTTGTACTCTATCTTGATTATAGTGCAATTGCAGGACAAAGCAATGAAACAAACACTTCCCATTATGTTTGTGAGAATTAAGCCTATTGACATATGGTTTACAAAACAATGTGCTATCTAATAAGACCGTCTTAATAACCCAAACACCATAGGAGCACACCTATCACGCTTATTGCGTTATATAGGTGAGTTAGCTCAATTTGGAAAGCTCTAGCATATGCACAATTCCTAAGTCCATACTACCTGGTCATCTACATGATTAATTAATTGAATTTGTTGATTAATGTAATAAAGGCCCAAAGATGGTCTGAAAGTTACCAAAAAGAGTAATTTCATATGCATATTTGATCAATTAGATTTACAGAGAACATGATTAGAATTGAGTCATTCAGAGTATTCTGAAAGTACATCCTTGTGGAATTAGCTAATGATTGTTCTGCTTGGAGAAGTCAGAGAGGGTTCCAGAGAAGAGTATATACACACATGAAGCTATCTTCTTCTCACTTGCCTGTGGCAGTCCCTGCTGGTGCAGCTCACACCTCACTCTTTTCCTCTAAGCCTAGATGTGGCCTTTCATCTTCTCAATGAGTACTCTAGGAACTTATTTTAGGGGATGAAATGTTTTTACCAACCTAGGCTGAATGTATACAACCCAGAGGCAATGTCTATCTTAGACTAATCTGATTTAGATAAGTGAATATAATTTTCTCCCCAGGAATCCTTGCCAATTGAGAACCCAGCTAATACTAGAGCATTGATCCAGAGTGCCAAGAATGGAGACTAGAGTGGAAATTCACCAAGCACTAGCAATTTACTTTAATGATCATTTCCTGAGAACTTCTGAAATATTTTCAATTTTTAGAGAATTTGTTTAGCAACTGAAAAGAAAACTTTCTACTAAGAGAAAACACCACGCATATATAAGAACATTCCAATTGCCCCATTGTTTTTCATGTCTTTCTTTATTTGCCAATATCTAAAATACAGATTTTAGAGAACGTATCCTAACTCATCAATTTACGAATGATCCTATTCCTTATTTTGTCATTAGCAGTGTATTTTTTTTGTTCTTTCCTTCCTAGGTGTGTTTTTCTACAGGAAAGGAAATCAAATAAAACTTAGACTTTGTGTTTCATGATGGCTTTTTCAAAATATATTTTTGGCATGCTAGGTAATAAATCATGCAAAATGTGCAAGAGTAGTGGTGATGAAAGTGTTGTAGTTTTGCAAATACAAACATAAGAATTCAGTGGATACTATTGTGGGTCCCTCTGTCACTGGCAGGTCAGGTGCTTGGGGCAGAAAGGCAGGTCAGGTTTGAGGTCAGGGTCTCTTTCCTGCACAGACAGGCATGCCTGGCTACTGTGAGTTCAAGAGCAGAGTATGGCTCCTGATTTCCCAGCTCCATCCTTCTCCATCTGTCACTGTAGCCTCCACTCTAAATTTCAGGCATCTAGCCTGAGACCTTGATCTGGGATTAAATACAATATTGGAAAAGCACTCAATTTAAATCTAGATTAAAATTAAATTTTCTAAATGTATACATATATCTAGGTATAACACAATATCTATTCAATAGAGGAAGAGGCTTAGTAAATCACTAGCATGTATTGAACCCTCACTATGTGTCAGATATTACATTAGTATTTTATAGGTATTGAAAATTTTCCCTGAAAATAAGACAGGGTCTTATATTTATTTTTCCTCAAGAAGACACCCTAGGGCTTATTTTCAGGGGATGTGTTATTTTTTTTAAGTATGATACAGCAATCTACATTTATTCAAATATAGTTAAGTCGTCTTCTTCTGGAACATCATCATAACTCTCCAAACCCTGAATTCTATCCTGAATTTCTTGCAACTCTGTTTCCTTTAGAACCATTGGTCCCAATCTCTCATGTTGAGCAATAGAGCTCTGATGGGGCAGATGAGAAGGGCTGCTTGTCTTCTTTGCTGCTCTGTGAGGAAATGCATGGGTTGTGTAGATACACTGTATAGCCACACTCATCACTAGGTCTTATTTTCTGGGTAGGGCTTATATTGCACAAATGCTTAGAAATCCTGCTAGGGCTTATTTTATGGGTAGGTCTTACTTTTGGGGAAACACGGTACTATCTCATTTAATCCTTAGGGAGAAAAACAGTTATAAGTACTCCTACTATTTTTACTTTACAAACCAGAAAACTGAAGTAGAAATACAATAGATCCATTTAACAGGCAAATGACAGAATGGGAAAAGATCAATATCTAGAATATTTAAGAGATTACTCAGGAAAAAAGACAGAAAATACAATAGAAAAATGGTCAAGGGATTAACATAAGAGATTCACATAGGGAAAATCTGAATACATTTTTAAAGAGATGGGTAAAGACTTTAGGAATGAGAAAAAGGCATGCTTTAACATGCATGCTGAAATACTTTT